CGACTGGAGCACCGTCCCCACCAGCCCTCGTGTCTGACTACCTCCTGGTGCTGCCAGCATCTGGGGACACGGGCCTCAAAGCACGGTCTTCCTGGAGACTGCCTTGATGGCTGGGGCCAGGCAGCAAGAGCAGACTGTGTGAGCTTCATGCCCACATGCACTGCACAGGGTCCCCACACACAGAAATGCAAGAGCACGTGTGCCTTGGGGCCTTGTTCCTGCTGGGCAAAAGGTGGTCCATCCCTGTGGTGCCCTGGGTGGGTTTTAGGTGTGGCAGGGGGATGACCGTTCCCACTGGGGCACCAAGGGGCAGAGGAAGGGCCTTGGATCCTGGCCTTCCTTCCACACAATTGCTAAGTGGCAGAGGTGGCTTTGCAGAAGCCATGCCCTAAGCGCCCAGCTGCTATCATTAACCCTCAGAGGCACCCAAGCTTCCTGCCACCTCCCAGACCTCCTGCCACAAAGTCATGCATGGGCCCCCTCCCCCCACTGTGCTGTGTCACACTGGGTCTCTTCTCTGCTGACATTCCACAAAGCAGGACCCAGCAATGAAGGGTGTGTGTCTCCTCCCAGCTGATTTCCCTCCCCCTCCTCACGGTGGTCTTTGTAAAGAGTGTGAGCGCAGGGATGGTGGAGACATGATGAAGTCTGCCTGGACCACAGCTCCCCGCAGCCATTCCTCACTCAGCCCAAGAGGAAGGGATGCCCCCTCAGCCTAGAGCAGCCCTCACCCTACCCCAGGGGCTATGACCCACTGTTTCTTCCTCTCGGGGCTCCAGGGAGAATCCTAAGGAGCTGGCTGCCCGAAACAGTCATTGGAGAAAGCTGATGTTTCCAGCTCTGAGGCTCGACTTGAGTACAGAATACCATGTTTCTTCAACATCTATTCAACAGTCTGTCCAGCCATCCACCCACCCACTCTCCTACCAGTCCATCCATCAGTCCATCCACTGACCCACCAGTGCATCCTTCAGTCTGTCCACCATTTACCATCTATATCCACCCACCAGTCCGTCCATCAGTCTGTCCATCCACTCATCCATCCATCCGCCTACCCACTCACACATCAGTCCATCCATCAGTCTGTCCCTCATCATTCCATCCATCCATCCATCCATCCATCCATCCATCCATCCATCCATCCATTCACCCACCAGTCCATCCATCAGTCTGTCCATCCATCCATCCACCCACCCACTCACCCACAAGTCCATCAATTTAAATCATGTTCTCTGAGCTCAGGCTGTGCCAGACTCTGGGGCTCTAAGGAAAAAGAACAGAAACAGTCCCTGCTCTCAAGGAGCTCCCAGTCTGGTCTGAGAGGAGATGAGAAGACACACAAATGACAAGACAATGTGATAGTGCAATCAGCAGGCTATGAACAGAGAGCTGTGGAAGCACATGGGCCAAAGGCTGGAGGAGCTAGAGAGGGGTTGGAAGAGAAGGTGACATTTAAGTGGAGTCTTGAAGAATGAGTGGCAGTCTTCCAGCCAGAGACGTTGGGGAGAGCTCATTCCGACATACCTTAGAGGTGTCCTGTGACAGTTTTAGCTCCACAACTAATAACTTTGGTGTTCAAATTAAATCGTCTCCAGCCATTGAGCTCAAATCTGATGCAGTCATATTACACCTTGATCTAGGAATTGGAGCCTCACGGAAAATAGCCACTCAGCCCTCCCAAGGATACAACCTCTCCTTAGAAATCCCAGCACATTCATTCAGGGGGCTATGCTGCAGCTCTGGCTGACTGGGCGCTCCCTTTCCCCTCTCTCAGATGTCCTGATCAAGGTTGAACTATCAAGAGCAGAGCCTAAAGCAATGGATGTACCATGTCCAAAGTCAAGCTGGGGGTTGAGGAGGCAGAGTTCAAGGTCATAGCTCTCAGTCCATCAGATGGGTGGCACTGTGGTTCAACTCTATGTCTGCCCCCTGGCAGCAGACCCTGAGAACAGGATTTGAGCCCAAGTACTGTGTTTCCTCGAAAATAAGACAGAGTCTTATATTTATTTTTCCTCAAGAAGACACCCTAGGGCTTATTTTCAAGGGATGTGTTATTTTTTTTTTAAGTACAGTACAACAATCTACATTTATTCAAATATAGTTAAGTCGTCTCCTTCTGGAACATCATCCTAACTCTCCAAACCCCGAATTCCATCCTGAATTTCTTGCAACTCTATTTCCTTTAGAACCATTGGCCCCAATCTCTCATGTCGAGCAATAGAGCTCTCATGGGGCAGATGAGAAGGGCTGCTCGTCTTCTTTACCGCTCCATGACGAAATGCACGGGTTGTGCAGACACGCTTCGTAGCCACACCCATCACTAGGTCTTATTTTCAGGGTAGGGCTTATATTGGGCAAATGCTTAGAAATTCTGCTAGGGCTTATTTTATGGGTAGGTCTTATTTTCGGAGAAACACAGTAGTTTACTCGGAAGTTGCTCCAGGAAGCATTGGTGAAGAATGGAAGGGAAGGAAACCGAAAGGTGTGTTGCCAAGGAGATTATCGCCAAGGGCATCTTGGGCTCAATCCCACGGGGTTGGAGGTACTGGGACACATATGGATATACCCCAGGATTACCCTGCCAGAGGAGCACAGAAGCTGGGGTGTCTGTCCTCCAATTACCATGCGTTATTGGCTGAGGGCAGCTCGTGAAGCTTCAGCTCCCCAGCACCGCCACCTGGATGAAGTTCCTACAGTCTCAGGAGCTTGCAGCAAAGCCCCGCCAGCATAGCTGGAACGGTGAGTGCAAGGCTGTGGGTGCTGCCTCCGACAGCAGTGGGGAGGGCGTGGCGGTGAGGGCTATCTCCTGGGGTGAAGGGAATCTTGAGTTTGAGGCTCAACTCTGAACAGTGATCAGAGACAACCCAAGCAGATAAAGGACACTGAACGACGAGTGCCTGCCCTAATAGAATTCAGGTATGGTACGAAAGGCACCAGAACGGAGGGGCAGGAGTTTTAATGCAAATGAAAACCCGAGCCTGGGCACCACCCTTCCCGAACCCCAGCTCCGCCTGGCCCCAGAGCAGCACTGGGAAGCCTCGAAGACGGGGACTGCGGCAGCAGGAGCAATGCTGTGGCTGGCAGCCTCGCCATCCCACCAATGGGGCCGCGGGAAGGAGCACCCAAGCCCGCCCAGGGACCCAGATGGCAGGGTGGGAGGAAGCCGTGGCTGTCGGCCAGACGGGCGGCAACCGGAGCACCCCTCCCGTGGGAGGACTTCAGATGTACCCAGAGTTCCTGAGAGCGAGAGTAACTTTACTCCTGAGTGTTGCAAAGTGAAACTCAGCAAAGTGCCGAGTCACAGAAAACGCCAAGATTCTTCACACATAGAATAATGAGGCAATAAAACTCAACTATAAAGTTAAATAATTTACCATAAATATCTAAAGCTCTCAAATTATTCTCTGCATTAACTGCCTATGTTTAAAATGATCTTTGCATTCACTATGTCACAGATGGCAAAAGCAGACAAGAGAGTCCTTGACAACTCTAACTGCAATTAGCCCTTCCCAGCTGCGGTGATTTAAAGGCCTTTTCAGTTAAGCTGAATGAAACACCCGCGCTTTATAAATAAAGGCTTTACCAGGGCTGACAATGAAGTATTTGAAACGTACAGGCCTGGGCTGGTGGGGAGGGGACGGCGGGGAGAGGACGGTCACTACATCCCCAAACCGGAGCCCTACACGCCCCTCAGCCCACCTCCCCGCCAGCCCCACTCACGTGATGCTCAGACACACGCCCCCGTCCGCAAACCCCGGCCCACGCCCTCGTCCCCTCCCCACACAGACACGCCCCCTTCCGTTCCCGCTCACATCCTCACAGTGCTACCGCCCTCTCCCTGCACGCACAGGTGTCTCCTGCACCCGCATACACACGCGTCCTCCCTCCCTTCTCCTCTTTGTGTGTGTGCACATACACACATACACACACATGCGCACACGTGCACACATGCACTGAGATAGTTGTGTATCTCCAAGAAAGACACCCAGGTCCAGAGGCAATTTTTCAGCGAGTAAAGGCCAAATGAGGTCGGTTGTCTGGGGCGGAGACCGACCCGAGTGCCAGCCTCCGTGGCCAGGGCCTGCTGCTGCGGCTGGCAGAGGAGGAGGAGTTCTCCCTGTGCTGGGGAGGAGCTGCCCTTCAGCAACACATGAGCACCTTGGAGACGAGAGTTAGGAGGCAGCTGAGGCGGCGCACAAAGGAGGTCAAGGTTACCCTGATTGCCGCCAAGCGCTCCTCCCCGGGGCCCGGCTGGTTAATTGCTTGGAGTCTGGTGTGGCAGAGGGAGCTGTCAGCAAAACGGCCCCCCTGAATCACATGCTTGGATCTTTGGGATCCTCCTGGGGGTCCAAGGCTGGGCCCCACCGCTTCCCCGCCTAGCCTCGCCCACGGCACAGCAGACGTAAGCCAGGTCTCAGAAAAGCTGGGGCGCACAGCATCCTCTTCCTGCATGTCCTGCGGACACCAGGACTTGTTCCAACCACGGTCACAGCCTGAACAGCCCTAGCTCACAGCCTCTCCCACCCCGGCACCCACAGCACAGCAACCACACCCCCATTTTCCTGAGCAATGCTCATGCCAGGCACCATGCTAAGCTCCTCCCAGACATTATGCCTCTCGCGCCCACTAACATCCTATGACGCAGATACTACTATTCTCATGCTCAGTTTTCAGATAGGGTCGCTGAAGCACAGGGAGGCTGAGCAACTTGTCCAAGGGAGAAAGGTCAGGGTCCCACGCCAGGCGGTGCAGGTGCAGCTTCAGGGCGCACACCCTTAGCCACTGCGCTGCGCTGTACGAGGCTCTCCTGCTTCATCCCGGAGAAGCAGCCCTGTCCTGACCGCAGGCCCTCCCCAAACCCAGCCCTGGCTGGCTGAGCCCCGAGCCCCTGCCCTGTCCTCCCAGCTACCTCCCTTAGGCTTGGGATCCCGTTTCTGAAATATGAGCCAGCCCCAACAGTCACGACGCCCCATCCCCCTGACTGTGCACCCCGTCCTTACGCCGTCCTGCTGTATCCGCTGGGCTAGGCTTTCCCTGCACAGACACATCTGCCACCCCTGGGCCACCATCTGGGTCCTCCATCACGAGATCCTGTCTCCCTTCCAGCTTGGAAGGGCCAGTGCCCTTGCACCAGGGCCAGCACTGTTCCCTGGGGCCGGGAGCACTCCAGGAGGAGCTGGCTCCAGACACTCTCTGAGGCTGTTGGGAGGACCAGCCAGAAGTTCCGGAGAAGCACTTGGACTCCTGGAGGGCTCCACCCTAGATGAGCTCTCACTAATTCGCTGTTTATAATATTTGAGTTCCAGGGAGCTGCCTGGGCTGGAACCCAACTTGCAAAGGAGGAAAAACAAAGCTCATTCTATGTCTGATAGCAAATGAAGACATTTACAGGATCTTGAGCTCCGTTAAAGGGATGGGAGGGGGAAATACAGACACAGTCACAAGGGACTGTCTGAGGTCCGGAGCAGATGAGCGACAGCAAACCACTGAGCCCAGGGCCCTGGGAGTGGGAAGGATGGCCCCTGGGAGGGGGTCGCTGCGATCAGACGAGAAGGGAAGTGGCTTCGCTGCACACCTGAGCTCAAGCCTTGCTGTGGCCACGAGCCCCCTGGAAAACGGCACTGCTTCTGCCCCCACAGCCAGTGTGGGTGTGGACCAAGTCCCAGGCCCTGCCCCACCGGTCCATCCTTCCACGCCTCCCAAGTGCACCTTCCTTGGGGAGGGACAGAGGTCGTAGATTACCCTGAACTGCCTGAGGAAAACACATGCGCTCCAGAGTCCACACCACCACTTCCTCGCTGTGTGACCTTAGGTGAGACACTGCACCTCTCTGAGCCTGTCTTCTCATCAGTCAGTTAGGAATATTAATCCTCACCTCAGCGGGAACCAGCACGCTCATGCACGCGAGGCACCTAGCACAGTGTGGGCACAGCATACACCGTGGAGGCCTCATAAATGCGGCTCCCTTTACTCTCTCTTCCCCCTTTTCTGGACTTCCCTTCACAGGAATCCTAGACAATCACAGGCAGAGCCCGAAGGGGCCACAGGAGCATCTTCTTTGACTCCTGCATTTTGCAGGCCCAGAGAGAGGCAGTGAACAGCCTCGATCACACCGCGGGTCCTCGACAGAGGCTGGACTCAGCAGGTCCAGCTCTCCCGAGCAGCCAGCTGCCCCACAGGCTCTCCTGCACGGAGGCTGCTGCTTAGCTTCCTGTCACCAGCCTTCGCCTTACAGCAGAGGAAACAGGGTTCTGGCAGGGGAGGCAACGCGCCCACCACTGGCCTCACCGCCGGCAAGGGAGAGGCCCGAACGTCAGCCCAGGTCTCGCTGGCTCCGCAAGGAGCTCTCCCCGGGGGCCCTGTGCGCTGCAGCCTTGCCTGGGGTCGGGGCCCTGTGCGCTGCAGCCTTGCCTGGGGTCGCTCGTCTCTCCTGGCATCTGCAAGGGCTAGGCCAAGGCCTAGGAAACAAAAGGGTGACCATAACAGCAAGAGTCCTCAGCCGGGGAGGAGGGAGGGCCCAGGACCATGGGTTCTGCACAGAGGTGTCCTGATTCTGGTCCAGGAGGCTTGCCTTGGGGTGGCCAGCCCTCAGCTGCTCCCAGCAGCAGACAGGGCCAGGACGGGGCCTGGGAATCTGGGCAGCCCCGCCTTGCGGGAAAAGGGGGCCGGCAGGTGGAGCGGTTCACAGGAGAAAGCCCAACCCCCGCTCTCAGAGGGTGCTGGGACCCTTCCATTGTTTGCGTCTCCTTGTGCCCAAGTTTGCCAGTATCTATAATGAGGTGGACCCTGGGCACTAAGATGAATGAGATGCCATCTTCTGCCCTTCCCGAGTTTGGGAGAGCAAGGGAGACTGACTTCAAGGACAAGAGCACTCTGGGGAGAGGGCGTGTGGCTGGCGGTGCAAGCGCCAGGCCTAGGAGTTCAGGGGGAGGCTGGAGAGGGAGGTGTGGGTGGGACGGCAGAGGGTCTCAAATGCCCCCCTCAGGAAATCAGACCGTACCCTGAGAGGATGGGGAGCCATGGAAGGATTGGAATCAGGAGAGGGCCACGAGGTTCACGTTACGAAAGTCAAATTCCGGGCTGAAGGGTGGAGGGCAGGTTGGGTGGACACCTACAAAAGACTGAGTCGTGTGGAAGAAGATGGTGGTGGTGCGAAGGCGAAGGGGAGGCACATCCGAGGTACCCAAGAACGCGGAGGTGCAGAGGACGAGGCACGCTGACCCGTGGGTGTGAAGGGCAAGGGCACCTGCCAAGCACTCCTGCCTGGGACGGGGTGGGGGGCGCTTGTAAGCATCATCACGAGCAGCAATCCGAACAGCTCCGTTATGGAGCACTGTGTCCTAAACGCCCACATGCATCAGCTCGGCTGGCCCCCACAACTCCACGAGGCGGGTTCCCCATCACTATCCCCACTTTACAGATGAGAAAGCCAAGGCTCAAAGAGGCCGAGTGATTTCCCAAGGCCACAGCTAGTGAGCCAGGATTACAGGGCAGGCTGATCCCAGGGCCTGACCTCTTGCCACAAACTGCCCTGCAGCCCTGGGGTGAGACAGAAAGTCGGTACTGGACATGTGAGTCCAAGGTGTCCCTGGAACATCCAGGGGGGCTAACCGGGAGAACATGGAAGTTCCAGAAACATCAGTGTAGACATGGCAGATCGAGCCCTGGGGTGGGAGTCGTTGGGGGGCCAGAGGAGGGAGACAGTCAATGGACCAGCCATGGAGAAAGGGCTGGGAGAATGACCAAGCAAGCACATCTAGGGCACCATTGGTGTAGGGGGCACGGGAGGGGGTAGGGGACATGGGAGAGAACCAGGACCTGGCGCAAGGAGCGCTCCAGCTGGGCTCGGCAGGCTGGGGTTTTGGAGTCTCCACTTCGCCCCTTGTTGGATGTACACCCTTGAGCCAGTCTCTCAACTCTCTGAGCACTGGTGCCCATCTTCTATCAAGGGGGACGCTAATAATATTCAGTCCACAGGGCATGTGGGAGAATCAAACACGACAGTGTCCAACAGGACCTCTGACGGATATTAACACACATCCTCACAGTATGGTGATGTGATGTGAGTCTGGGCCAGGTACGTGCAGATGACAAGCTGGAGACAGGGAGGGGCCGGGGCAGGTGATGTCCCCCCAGATTATTCTGCTATAGCTGGAAGAGCTGCCTGGAACAGCCCTTAGCACCTGTCTGGGGGATTATCTCAGCTGAAAAAAACCTGCCTCACCCCCTCCTTCAGGTCTAGGGGCAGGGGGAATGTATAAAATAACTGATCAACACATGGGGACAAGGCCTGTCCCTGTTGTCCCAGTACAACCCAACTCAGAAGGGCCATTGGCTCCAGTGCTCCTTACGGGGCTGGCCTTGGTTGCGACTGCGTTGCGGCTCAGTCTCTCTCTGCCGAGTCCTGCTCCCTCCCCTGCCCTCCCACCAGAGTGGGCCCCACGCCCACGCCCCACACCACTAAGACCAAGAGACCCCGCCTGCCCCAGGGTGGACGGAGCGGCCATCACCTGGTTCTCCCTAAAGGTTGCTGTGATGACCTGCCCGAGGACTCTGCACTCCGGTGAGCTGTGTGGTCAACACTAATCACGGTTACCCCCTTTTCCCTTCTCAGCTCAGTGACCTGGAACAAGGAACCTCACCTCTCCGAGCCTGGGTCCCTCCATCTGTCCACTGGGGATCATAACCCCGACCTCACACGATGGCGTCAGACTAGGAAAGGCTTCTAAAGAGCTTCACGGCCGCCTGTGGCGCCACATGGGCTCTGCCTTCTGTGTGGCCATTAAACGTTCTCATTTCTAGTGTCTCGAATAATTTACAAACACCAGGTTTCAAGTTATTTTAAGCTGAGCAACCCTAACCACTTCAGTACGGCGCTCACCGGCCGCGAAACCTGGCCCGCAGCCGGCACTCACAGTCCGCACCATAGTTGTGCTGGGCATTGACGACGAGGCCGTTTTGTTCTTGTGCGATGAGGAAAGCTTTAAAGCACTGAAAGCTTGTTATACTTTACAGGCAGCTTTACTCGTGACGTAAATCAGAATAGGTAACATATACATATGTTTTCGTTACGTTATTTTTAAATATTCACGATTTTATTTTGGTAAATGAAAAATTAGAAAAGTCAATTCAAAATTACAGACTAAAGTCGATGCCCGGCTGTGCGCCTTCATATCACGGCTGTCAACTGCTGCCGACGCTCGTACCAAAGTGTAGTTAAGCAAGTTACTTAACCTCTCGGCTCCTCAGTTTTAGTACCTATGAAGAGCATCGATCTCACAGAGTTGTGAGGATGACTGAGTTAATCCAGGGAACACTCATAGAGCAGTGTCTTGCACATGGTGATTCTCCATAAATGTTAGCTGTTACCTTCAGAACTTCCCTTTTGCCAGCTGGAACCAAGAACTTAATGCAACACTCCTGGCCATGGTCTCTTCCATGCAGAACCATATGGCACTATCACCTCCCCTGTGTTAGACCCTTTATTTCTAATAATGCAGCCCGGAATTTTGGGAGAGTGATTTTTTTTTTTTTAAGACAGAGTCTCGCTCTGTTGCCCGGGCTAGAGTGAGTGCCATGGCGTCAGCTTAGCTCACAGCAACCTCAAACTCCTGGGCTCAAGCGATCCTCCTGCCTCAGCCTCCCAAGTAGCTGGGACTACAGGCATGTGCCACCATGCCTGGCTAATTGTTTCTATATATTTTTAGTTGTCCAATTAATTTCTTTCTATTTTTAGTAGAGACGGGGTCTCGCTCTTGCTCAGGCTGGTCTCAAACTCCTGACCTTGAGCCTTGGCCTCCTAGAGTGCTAGGATTACAGGTGTGAGCCACCACGCCCAGCCAGGAGAGTGATTCTTTTCATCTGCCACACCACACTGTGCATCATTCTAAACTTCCTGGCCAAAAAAAAAAATTAATTAATTAAAAATTAAAACAAATTAAAAAACGCCCTAAACTCTTTCACACATACTTTCATGCTATGTGTTTGCCTTCTGGCTCACGCTGGATTCTGAACGTACGCGCACGGCACCGCCTTTCTCTCTGTTATGATTCTCCTTGTTCAATTTGGTTCCGCCCGGAGAAAGCCCTGCACAAACAGGAGAGCAGAGAGAACCCACCAATGAGACGGACACACGCTGCCGGTGACCTCTGCAGGGCGGCAGGGACCCAGCGCTCTGCAGAAGCCTGGAGCTTCACAGATGCCCACCGAGGGAGGGAGCGGTTTCGGGAAAACTACAGAGCCATCAAGACCTTATAAATGTTGCTGCTGTCACCCAATGCAATTGCAATTTCCCACAATTTGACATTACACGTGAATTTAATATGCACACTTATACCTGCCACACCATCAATAATAATAATTATTATCGTTCACGGTGGTCATGTTCAATCCACTGCATCTGCCAAAGGGACAGCCCTTGGGCACTTCTGTTTTTTGTCTTGTGATCCCCCAACCTCCTTCTCCCTGAGCTTCAATGGCTGACAATGCGGGCAGCCCATGACAACGGCCTCATCCACGGTCCCATCAGAGTCCCTCTCGTGGGAATTTGAACTAGGAAATGCTGAGCATGAGCGACCGGCAGTGGAGGCTGAAAGGCCATTAGTTTAGAGAGGGTGGAGGGGCCTTGCACACACCATGTGCCAGTGACGGGAACAAGGTACCGGGAATAATGTGTGGGGGGAAGCTCCAGGACAGAGGACAGGTGAGAAGGCAATGGGCAGGAAAGCAGGGGAAACTGAGTCCTGACTATGGGCACTCCTGTGTGGGAAGAACTGTGAATGAGCTGGCACCCCTGGAATGCCATTGTTGGGCCAGTTACTAATTCAGCTAGTTGTATTTCTTGATGCCTGCATTTCTTGTGCACAAAGAGAGCTTGGGTGGTTCTTCCAGCGCCTTGCTGAACGCATGCAGATTGCATGCCCCTCACCTAAAGTCTAACAATCCTGCCCAAGAAAGAAAGTCTAGCCTGGCTGAACTTATCTTCCAACGAAACATAGCGTGTGACACATGGCAGGTCTTCAATTAAGCCTTTGTTTCTGTTTGTGGGGGACCCGTGTTGGGTCCAGATGGTCACAAACTGTGTGGTCTCAAGCAAGCTCCCTGGTCTGTAGTTTCTGGAAACCAATCCCCCTTTCGAAATCCGCCATCCTCAGGCTTTGAGGAATGTCCCACCCTCTCTTCTCCAGAGGTCACTGGTGACAGGACAATAATCTCAGCTGAAAGTTCTCTGTGCCCAGGCACGTGGGCTCCCAGCCCAGACTGTCTCTCTTCCTAAGGTCTGGGCGGCCGCTTCTCTCCCCTCAATGTCAAAGCAAGACAGAAGTGCAGGGTCTCTCTCTGCATCCCTGGCCACCCATCAGCATGAAACCCTTTTCTTGTTCTTGGTAGAAACGGAAAAGACTGCTTGCTTCTCTCTGGCCTTCCTCTCTCTCCCTTCCTCTTCCACTCCACAGCCCACGCAGGGGCGTTGCCCTCCACACTTTTATTCTTACAGGTCTGTTGAAGGGAAGGGAGCTCCCCCTTGTTGGACACAGCCTCGCACCCATCGCTGTGTGCGCGCATTCCATGGGTGAGCTCATTCAGGTCTCACAGCCTCCTTTCCAGAAAAGAGACCCAAGGCCACACAGCAAGGAAGGAAGTGGCCAAACTATAAACTTGAACCCAGTTCAAGCAGCAGCTCAAACCTGCCTACACCACTGACCATGCATGAGCCTTTGGGCAGGTGCATGATCTGTGCCCTCTGTTTTCTCATCTGAACAATGGGTGCCCAATATTCCCTACCTCACAAGGCTGCTGTGAGCACTATTTGAGCCATTAGATATAGAACACTTAGCTCCAAATCTGAGACACAGTACGTGCTCACCACGCAGCCACTGGGATGACTTACGGTTATTCTCCCTGAGCTTTTTCTATATACTGCCCAAGTCTCAGCATTCAAACCTTCCAGGGGATGACGCGTCCCAGGAATCAGATCACTTCTCACGAACCTTCATGGCCAACCTTCCCTTCTTCTCCGTCCTTGGAATACGCCCACTACAAATCCAGTCCCTCCTGAGAGCTCCCTCCAAAACCACGCGGTTCCCTCAGGAAACATTCCATCCCTTCTATTTCCTTGGGTCAGTTTGCAGCTACACTGCCAGAAACAAGGGCCTGCAGCTTTCCCGATTCTCTGAGAGCACTTCCCAGGCCATGCAACCCCGCTCAGGTGTCCCCTGAGCTTCAGTGTGTCACTTGCGCAAATTGGGGCCACACACTCCCTGGACACCACAGACACGGCTGACCAGGCAGGTTCCTCCCAGGCTCACGTCGTGCCCCTGCGCCAGCTGCCTGCTTTGTGGCCAGCATGAGGTCCCAGGCAGCTCCTCCGATCATGCTCACTCTGTGCTGGGAGCTGGACTGTCAGCAGGCAAGTCAAGAAGGGAGCAGAGGCTCTGTGCCAGGCCAAGGATGCTCCTTGCTGATGGCGGCTGGTGGTCTGAGCTGGCCCGTGACAGCCACCTCCTGCCTCAGTGTCAGTCTGCAGTCAGCACCGCTTCCTCCGTGGCAGGGCCAAGGCCAGAGAGAGGCTTCGCGGATCAGAATCCACAGTGGCCGGTGGAGAGGGCCTCTGAGAGCAGAGTGGGACGGGACAGACTGGGCGGATCGCGGCTCTGCATCTGCCTGTGGTGTCACTGCAAGCAAGTCTCCCTGAGCCTCGGTTTCTCCACCCATAAAATCACGTTAATAACACCCAACCCACGGGGTGGGCTGACAGGAGATGGTTTGAGTTGGACACACGGCGTATCGATAACAATTCATTTCACGGCAGCTGCTCTTAACCCTCAGGGACCACTTGGCAGGATGGGCAATGGTCAGGCCTTCCCCACTGTCCCTGCCTGCTTGGGACCTAGGGACCTGGGCCTTCAGTGCTATCACCAGGCAAACCAGGACAAGGCGGTCATCTGACCTTCAGCTTCCACCCAGAGGACAGGGCCACTGACAGGGACTTGGCTGGGAAGAGGGTGGGAAAGGAGGTGAAGACCAAGAAGATATGAAAAAAAGTTGGCTCATCATGGAGAGGTGTGTGACTGTGGCCTCCCAGGCAGGCCCTCCTGTCGGCTCCCCCACCAGGCACATTCCTGGAGTCCTGGGGCACCCCATTCCTGGTGGGGAACAATGGTGTCCCTGTCTGTAGTTCCCATTCTGTTAGAACTCGATCAGGCGTGGGGAGTGAGGATTAGCTGCCGGGAGCTGCCCAGCTGTCCGCTGACTCTGGGAATCTGGGGCATTGGGGTGGTACCTCCTTCTAGGACAGTGGTTCTCGATAGAGGACTATCCCCCCCACACCCTGAGGACATTTGACACTGTCCAGAGACATCTTCAGTTGTCACGATCGGTGAGGGT